GCGCCCCGGGCGCGCAGCTCCGCGCCGGCAGGAACGCGCTGCTGTGCTCCCCCCGTGGTACCCGCAGCCGGCGCGATGCTGCCGGGGGGGGCACAAAGCTGAGATACCCACCCCGGCCTCTGCTCTTATTCGGCACCTTATGCTGTCCCTCCAGTTTAATCGCAGAGCAAGGAAAGGGGACCCAGTAGTTTTCGTGGTCCTCGTACCATAATTACGGGCTGCCGAGAGCTCGTCCAACTCAACGTTGGCAGCTCCTTCGCTTCTGAGGAGAAATGGCCAGGCAGAAAATCTGGAAGGGCAAACTGGCCCCATACCCTGTAACTGCGAGTGTGACCGAACGGCCTTGTGTTGAGGAACGCGCTCGAGGGAGCAGTACCAAAGTACCGGGTCGCAGGGCACTTTGGCTGCTGCGTTGTCAACAGCTTATCTGGAGATGTTCTTAGAAATGGCTGAGGCATCATAATGCCATTGTGCCTCACACCGAGATCCTGACAGTTTTCATAAACTGTTTCTTTAATTTTAAGACTAGCTGGAAAGGTTCAGGTATTCAAACCAATTCTCTCCCAACAACCAGGGCACGTTTCTCTTTAGGTCTCCAAAATGATCAATTCTGCGAAGGAAGGACGCAGCCCACAGGCATTTTCTCAGAGGCAGTGGTGACTGCCATCATCACAACAGGTGCTATGCAAAGCTGACTTTTGCTTTGCTGAAGACCTCCAAGTAAAAGGAAAAAACCCAACCTACTCCTGGAAATCACACTGGTGATTCAGTAGGTCACCTTCTTCTGGGCAAGTTTTAAGCTCATTCCCAGCACAGAGCTTGAAGGTCACTGTGGTTTACGAAGCACAGACACATTAATGCATATCCAAGGCCACAGGTCACGTGGTCTGTGATATTATCTGTAGCAATTACGTTGCTAAGCCAGTCCCTTGGCTGAATTCTACTTCAGAGGAAGGCATCCCAGCTATCTTTGATTTTTCTTTAACGCTTTTTCCCTGAGAAGTTCATGTGCATGCATACACACGCAAACAAATGGAGGTTTGACAGAATGAATGCTCTCTGGCTTTCTGGTCAGAAGGTAATCCATACGTAAATCTTACAGTATGCAATCTCATGCAAAAATTCAATTGTAACTTACATGCCCACACAGAAGTCTGACACACTGATCCTTGAAAGTGGCATTCTTCAGATGTCTCCTCCTGTACAGTAGGTTCTTGCCTGCTCTGTGTCCTCAGAGGATCAGAGGTTTGCTCTGTGGAAGGGCAAGATATTTCTTCTGTTCTCGGAGCTTCAATCAATAGATCACTACTTTAAAATATAAAGGAGCCATGCTAACAGAGTTGCAAGACGGTGATGGCTAGGTTGGGCCGTGTTGCTCCCAAAGGAACGTGACCAGCCAGGCATTTTTATACTGTTGTGCTCAGATTCCTAGAAGATCTTGCAACAATAGGAACTTAGACATTGGATTTTAGCATTGGAACCAAGTGAAGGGACCAACTTACTGACTCAGTGCAAGCTGGATCTTTGGAGTTCTGTTGTGCTTAGATATGTAAGATAAGGATATGCCTTTCTTCCTCAAAGTTAGTGCGAATCCACAAACCTAGATTGGCCTTGAAGTGGAGTAAAAATAATTTTCTTAAGCTGTTCTTTCATAGCTACCTTAAACTCATTTAATTTGCCACCTTTCCTGAGTCCATATTGCTGCTCTTTACAAGGGGCCAACTAGTGGAGCTTGTACAACCACGCGGTGAGTTGCACACAAAAATTAATCAAGGCAAAAAGCCCAACCCAACCAAAAATGATACATGTTCTGCCATATAGTATCAATTATTCAATTCATTTCACCACCCACTCGTATTAACTCAACTGCTGCCACAACCAAACAATGGTGAGAGAGCAATACCACACATTTTCACAGTAGCTTTCACTTAGATCTATTTTACATAGATCGTTGTAAAATCACAGGCTGATTATGAAAGCTTTGCGGTGTCCTCGTCGGATCGTGAATGAGAAGGTTCCTTGGCGCTGACAGAGCATCTGCTTGGTGGCAGGGTCAGTCAACAACATTCGAAAGGCAAATCAGACAATTTAGTGTAGGAAGCAATTCCAGAAAAGGAGAAAATCTTGCTAACATAATTGGAAAGAAGGACAGCAAATGGAAAGCTATGAAGAGTCACTGTATGAAAAGTCAACATATGTTATGCATACTAGGTAGTAATCAGAATCATTAGGTTTAACAAGTTGTTGTCAGTGAGGGGCTGCTAGCAGTTGCACATGAAAAACTTTGATCTGAGCTGTGATGCACCAAAGGTGTGGCTATCCTGTACGATCATCTGGGAGGAACAGCAGCCCTATTTAAGGCATCATCTAAATGTAATTCCCTGTTAAATTAAAGTTTGTAGCTGCTAGAACTGTTTTTGTTGGTGTGAGTATCGATTTCTGTTACAGCTAGTAGAGCATTTCTAGTGCCTTGTTCCAAGCCTGGCTCATAACTTTTGATTAGGATGATCTAGGCTTTGGGTGCTTTCACTAATTTATCAAACATTTATATTTTTACAAAACTGTATAGTGTTAGTGAAGGTTTTGACTTGATAACCCCATTGAGGTTATCAGACCATGGTAATTCTCTTGCTGTTTTTCTCTTGGTGCACCTTTGCCATAGTGACTAGGGATGCAATGTTCCATTTGCTGAAGCAATGCGACCTATAACAGTTTTTGTGACTTTATCACAAGTGTCTTCCTTCAATAGTGCATGTTCTAGGGTGACTTTCTGGACAACTATACCCTTCATTTATAAGTGGGAGGCAGAAAAAAACTCATGATTGAAAAATGGGACCTGAAATTGAGACTGTAAAATTGAGGGTGGGTAGTAAATTAAGAAGAATGTGAATACTCTTTTTTAACATGATCTTTAAGTCAGGTTGAAGAAGCTGGACTAATCTTATTTGAGTGCTTTGTGTTATCAGTCAGGTACCTCTGAGGCTGCAGCTTTTCTTCAAGAATAGAAGGATTTGAGAGCACCCAGTAGCCACTGCCTCATATGTTTAATGACCATATATTTGTGTACATTATATGCAAGACATCTTGCAAAGTTAGTAGCTATGCTACTAACAGATCTACCTATCCAATCTACCTCTATACTGACATTTCTTCTGTAAAGGCTGCTTCTGTTAAACCTTTTAATGTCCAGCAGTCAGCCTTGACTTGAACAACGTGGAAAAGAGACAAGACTAGAATTCATGAAAGAGGAAAACGAAAAGCTTAGGAAAATTGCCAGAACCTAGAGTAGAGTATGGAATACCTGGGTCTCACTGGGTTTGGATTTTGCCAGAGCATTTCTTAGGTTATTTCCCCATCACTCTCAGTGAACACTCAGGCTGATCATTCCATCTATTGTGAGTCATTTTGTTAGTTCAAATACCAGAGGTCTGCGGGATGGGTTGAATGAGTCTAGTCCTAGTAATGATCATCCACGTAGGTGTAAACATGCAGCCACTTGATGGAACATCTGTGGGTTTTAGTCGTGGAAATTATAGGCACGACACAGTTTTCAGGCAAAGGCAATATCTTTTATCAGGCCAACAGGCACAGTTAGAAAAAGGCAAGATTTTGAGTAGACTTGAAGAGAGTTTCTGCAGAGAATCACAGAATCAT